TCACAGCTTCTTACGGGAACTTCAATGCGGATGCCTGCATTTGGTCTACTGGATCATCTTCTTGCTCTTCAAAATCCCCAGCGGCTTCTAACCCTAATAATGAATGGCTTTCGCAAGAATTAGATTCATCAAATCAGGAAAGGCTTAAAATGGGTGCAAAAGAATTAAATGATACATAACTACTGCGCAGACACCAAGATGTTCCCTCAAGGTTTGCCTACTGAATGCAACACAGCCTAAGAAAACAAATATTCATTCAGATTATTATTATTATTATTAGGTTAAGTTCTTGTTTATCATGTATTCTTTTCATACTTCTGAAACTTATAATCAATTCTTTCCTTCTTAATTTGGCGTTCAGTCAATTATATGCTTCTAATAAGTTGTAGTTTAATAAAATGTTTATATTCGATGTTCAATATAATATTACAAATTAAATTATCCAAACTCCAAAAGATTTTCTCAGCGTGTAAAGATGGAATGCGGTTGTCTTTATTCCCATCTTATCGAAAATATAAAATGTATTAATTTATAATAACAATATATATATATATATATATATGAAATAGTAAGGTAATATATGTTTAATATAAATTTAATTTTTTTTTAATCACTGACAACAAGAGATGAACTAAGGGGCGGGTGGGGGCAGTCATCCCTCTATTCTTACTGACAACGCATACACATCTTGTAAAACATTCACTCGAACTCGGGTCCTAAGGAAAATAATAATTTCTTTTGTTATTGATGTCACTCAATGGATTCAATTTATTTATAAGAATCTATGCTGATGTCAATTATTTATTGGGTAAAGTACACATATGGTCCCCTACTATAAGATATTGTTTTATTGAGTTCATCGACATTTGAAAGTTACAAAATCGGCTCCTGGTTATAGGGTGTTGCTTTTTGAGTCTCCTGACTATTAGAGTAACAAAATGGTCATCTGACAATTCATATGTTGCAAACCTATCATTTTCTGTTAAAAATTTAACAATTGTCTGAGCTGAATTTTAACCTACTAACTGGGATAAAAATTATATTCTAATGATGTCTACTAACACCGCCGTTGTTTTCAAGCACTAGCTCGATGACATAATGTAAACAACGAATTGATCCACAAAATACAACTCAAATAGTTTTGGGATCTGATTTTATCATATCCCAGTGAACATGTTAACGTCCAACTCAGACGGTCGTATTTTTTAACGAAAAATGACGAGTTTGAAACATAATAATAGTCGAATGACTATTTTGTAGCTTTTAATAGTCATGGGACTCAACAAAGCAACACATTATAGTTGGATGACCATTTTGTAACTTTTAATAGTTAGAGACTCAACAAAAAAACACTAGGATCGTTTTATAACTTTTAGTTGTCATTGGATTCAACAAAGCAACTCCTATAGTCGGGGGACCATTTGGGTACTTTATCTTATTTAGTTGTGGTCTCAAATGCAATTAAATATTAAATTGATCCGCATTTCTTGAAATATTGAGCTTTAGTACTGAGCCCGTTATTATGTATTTGTTTTGGGTTTCAAGTCTTATTGACCCAATTTTGGTTATTTGTTGGGTTTGAATATAAATTTTAAAAATTTATTAGTGATATGTTTCTATTAACATAAATCGTTGTTAGTTGTTACGATGCTAATGAGAAAATCAATAATCTTAATAGGATAGTCTATAATATTGTTACGATAGTTCATGATATTGACAATGTTATTTCTATATAAATGAAGATGATGTGATAAAAGAATTTAATTAAAAAAAATAGAATTGATTTTTTAAAAAAAATCCAAAATTTACTTTTTTATTACAGAGCTTATCATAATTTAAAATCGCTTTAGCTTTCTGTTCAACATGAATAATTCATTAGTTGCGCAATTGAAATGGATTATACGATGATTCATGAACATTGTAGGGCTAATCCAGAGTGGGGAAATGGTAAGTAGCACAGGCAAAAAGACAGGACACATCCAATGAAAAATCGACAAAGTTTACAATAGCAGATATGTTAACTTTGATTAACAGAGGGATTGTTTGGAATACATGCATGGGGGAAAATTGTGGCTAGGAAGATGACGCATGCATGTAAAAGCGATCAATCCATGAGAACTGAAAGTGATTGGACTTTGTTGTTGCCTTTCGATCCTCTCATGGATGATGGACGGAGAAGCGAGAATAATTATTTTTTTATTTTATATATTTTGATTATTTTGTATATTTTTATTAATAATTTATTTTCATCTGTTTAAAATTTTATATATTAAGATTTCAGCACTTGTATCTGTCTCTGGATGCTGGTAATAAAAGATTATCCCCATACATCTCCACTATCCACAGCAGTCAGACTCGGTTGATTTTGGACCCGGTAAGATCTCATTCGTTCAACCCTAGTCGGATGAGATCCTTCACTGACTCTTATGGCTGAGAGGGAAAGGAATATTATTAAAAAAAAACAATCTGGTATGCTACGTAGGCATGTAAACGAACTGAACGATAATATATTCATGTTCGTTCATTTAACTTTAATCAAACAAATACACAACTAAACGAACGGATATTTTTATTCGTGCTCGATCATTAAAAATTTAACTTGTCCATATTCGTTTATCATGTTCGTTTAAATTCATATAAGAATAAAATATATTTAATAACTTAAGAGAAAATAAAATATATTTTTTAAAGTTGAGTTCCATAAAGATAAAAATATTTTTAAAAGTTAAGATAAAAATAAAATATATTGTTTAAGTTAAGAAAACACTAAAATATATTTTTCAAGTTAAAGTAAGAATAATATATATTTTTAAGTTAAATATAAAAAAATTATTTTTAAATAAAAATAAAAATAAATTTTTTTAAATTAAGATGTGAACTTAATATGTGAATTTAAGTTAAAATATATATTAAAAATTTAAGAATTTAAAATATAACATATATACCGTAACTTTGATACTTTGAATCAAATTATCAACATGGCTCAATGGTTGAGTGTTTGGCTCCCAAGTTAAGGGTCCTAGGTTTTTAATTTTCTTTTAATGGTAGCAGTAAAACATTAAATGTAATAATAAATAAATAAAATTAATCCTCCAATCGGCTGATAATATGTGTAGTAATACTTGACATCAATGACACATGACACTATATGATTAATTTTCTTTTAAATAGAGGATGACATGTCATCCTCTGAATGGTAGAGAATAAACCATTAAATTTAATCAAAAATAAATAAAATTAGTCCTTCAATCGAGTGGTAACGCATGCCATAACACTTGACACAAATTACACATGACACTATATGACTAATTTTCTTTTAAACAGAGGATGTCATGTGTCATCCACTGAATGGTAGAAAATAAACCATTAAATTTAATCAAAAATAAATAAAGTTAGTCCTTTAATCGGGTGTTAACACGTGTTGTAACACTTGACACCAATGACACATGACACTATATGATTTGAAGATTAAATTTATTGTAATTTATTAAAATTAAAACCAAATTGATAGAACATGTAAGTAACCGTTACTAAATGTATAATTATATCAATTTTATTTAATGTCACATTATCAATTATGTCAAATATTAACAGAGAGTAACGACAAGTGACTTGATTTAATACAATTATATAATTAAGTGGTATGATTGATAAAATTGAAAGATCGATGGTAAAAGTAAAAGAGTTATATAATTAAGTGGTCATTGGTACAATTTACCCTAAAATTTATTCGGTCTTAATATTTCAAATGTGTCTAGAGATTGGACTGAATATAAATGAACGAACATAAATGAACAAATTGTTGAACGTTCATGAACGTAAATAAACAAAAGAGTCATTTATTTGTGTTTGTTCATTTGATTAAACAAATATGAAATTCTGTTTACCTTTATTTGTGTAATAAATAAATGAACTTTTCGACAAACATTTGTGAATAATTCCATTAACGTTTGATTCATTTACAGGCATACGGTTATGCTATTGCTAGCTCTAATCAATGCTGCCCAGCGAAATGATGGAGAGAAAGCCTCGGCCACCCTTTTGTGCAATGAAAATAAATGCCTGAGAGAATCAAATGGATTCTCTTTGTCGTTCTAACCTGAAAAACAGTGACTTAATTAGATTGAGAGGCTACTGACTTCATTATTTTATTATAATTAAATGAAAGAATATTTGAAAATTGATTATGCTTTCCCTTTGCTTTTATATTATATGCTCGAGTAACAAATTATATCTAAATTAAAATGAAAAAAAAGGTTTGTTGTTTGGTGAACCTCATCCATTCTTTCCAAAGTAAGATGAAAAGGAAAGGATTTTGATATCAATAGAGGCTCACAATTTCTTTGACACAAGGAAGGAGAAGAGTGAAGATGCTTGTAGATCATTTGATTATATATTATTTATTTATTTATATAATATCAATTTTCATTAAATTATTATGTTATATATTATATTAATAATTTTACAATATATATATATATATATATATATTATTTATTTATTTAATAAATTTTAAATATAATCCTAATTTTTTCTAAAGAAGTGAGAAAAAACGATAGGAAAAAATGAAATACTTTTAACAGTTCTAGAATTCATGTTCTAAAGATATATTGAGAAAAAATAAACATTTTAATCAACCGATCAAATATATTTATTTAAATGATATATTTACTTAAAATATTATGATTGTGATAAAGTAAAAAAAATCCATTTTTAGATTATTTAATTAATGTGTCAAATGCTAGATGTCTCCAATGGGTCCACCACCAAAATTATCAGCAGTTTCTAACCGTTGAACAAAACCTAGATGGATAGGACGGTGAGTCAAAGACGAGGAAGACAAAAGGAGGAGAGATACTTTCGATAAAAACGTAAACGAGAGCGAGTCAAGCGTTACAATGGAAACTAGTCCCGCGTGATAAGCATTGACGAAAGATCATAACACGTGGATGCTGATATTGAACTCCTCTCGTCTCTCCCAGTCTATAAATTCAAAGCCTTCGCTCTATTATCCTTCAAGTTCAAGTGTTGTTTGTTCACTCTGAAGAACTCATTAGAATCACTTAGTTTCTTAATCAGATAAGAAAGCCAGTGAAAATGTCTTGCTGTGGTGGAAACTGTGGCTGCGGTTCCGGCTGCAAGTGCGGCAGCGGCTGTGGAGGGTAATTAATTTCCTCTGTTAATAATGATTTGATAATCTCATTTTACCTTGAGGGTCTCTTCAAAATCGTTTATTTTTGCCACTGATTTTGTTTTTTTGGTTCAAATTTCGGAACTTGTAGATGCAAGATGTACCCTGACATGAACACGGCCGAGATGACCACAACCGATACTCTCGTCCTTGGCTTGCCACCCCAGAAAGCGTACGTTACACAAAGTTCAAATGTTTTTTGTTCTGTTTTGCTTTGCTTTTAAGGTTTATGATCCCTGTTTTCTGATCCATGGCAGACACTTGGAGGGAGCTGAGATGGAATTCGGGGCTGAGAACGACTGCAAGTGCAAGTGCGGAGACAAGTGCACCTGCAACCCTTGCAATTGTAAATGAAGAGAGGCAAAAACCAAGCTCGCTGGACGCAGAGAGGCCTTTGTTATTAAGAAATAATGTGTTTTGTTTTCATGTTATTACAATAAAGTCGCCATGGTTACTTGGTGCTTACAGCAGTTATAGTTGGTAATATTATCGTGCCTCTATGTCCAGTATGAGGCGTTGTCTCTGTTATTGTATGACTGTTTTATTATATTAGAATGAAAGGAAACTCCTTTCTCTTCGTATTTTTCCTTGTTTTTGTTGGATTCCATGGAAGAGAGGTGGTGGGGGGTTTCGATGAGAAACATCATGGGATTTGGAAATACGACTTCGTTTCAATGTGATTGGTAAGGGAATTGAAGGTGTGATTTTGGATGGGAATCATAACCCCAATTCCCCAAAGGCCAATACTTTGGTAGTAGTGTAATGCACAGAAAACGATGGAGGAATGGTCCGCATCCCCATTTTATCTACTGTGAATGCAGCAAGTTCTAGGCAGAAACAGAACCAACTATCACACAAATTTGGTTTTATTATTCAAATATCACTCAATAAAAAATTATTTTTTGTTTTAATATTCATATATGATTAATTCTTCAATTAAGGGTGTGTTTGTTTACCGTAAAATTAATTACGGAATTGATTTTTCTCGAAATCTGTGTTTGTTTTATGTAATTCATTTTTCAGAAAATGTTTTTTCGTGTTTGTTTCACGTAATTCGTTTTCCGAAAAAAGTTTTCCCGTGTTTGTTTCACGTAATTCGTTTTCCGGAACGTAATTCATTTTCCTAGTAACATAATTTCCTTTGTGTTTTCTGTAAAATGACTTATGGATTCATTTTTCGTAAGTCATTTTCTAACTTTTCACTTAAAATAATTTTATTTTATGAATTTAATATTAATAAAATATTTTAATATCATTTTCATCAAAATATTAATTATTTAAATATTTAAAATATATTTATTAATATTTATAATAATATAATATTATATTTTTAGTTTAATAATATAAGATATTATATTTTTTATTTTAATAATATATAATAAATTTTTTATATATTTAATAATGAATATTAATTATATATTTAAAACATATACTAGTAAAGATATTTAAAATATACTAATTAATATTTCTAAAATATAATATAACACTATTATAAATAATTAATATTATTTATAATATTTTATTTCACTAAAATATACCAATATTAATATTTTTATTAATAAAATTATAAAAAAAATATTTAATAATAAATAAATTATTTTAATATTTTAAAATAATAATATTAAGTTTTATGAGAAATAATATTATTTATTATATTTAATATTTGTAATAAATAATTTTTAAAAAACTCTTCAACTAGTGGAAAAAATGTTTAAATAACATCTTCTAAACATCATAAAACGTTTTCCAGATGTTTTCCAGAAATGTAATTCATTTTCCAGAAATGTAATTCATTTTCCAGAATTCAAATTCCAGTAATTTATTTTTCAGTAATTAATTTTCCGAAAAACCAATTACAGGCAAACAAACAGATCCTAACATCTTTTTTCTGTAACCTGAGTAAAGCTGTGTTATACATGAAATGTCTTTTTTTCGTATGATAAAAAATACATTTTACAGGAAGCTTTCTTTTATTAATCTTGGTTAAGTTGAACTGAAATGAAAAAGAATAAATCAGAAATATCAAAAAAGTTATATATGAATGTTGTCTGAATAAAACAAATGTGTATTATACACATGATGAATCGAGGAGTGTTAGAGTGCGGTCGTACTCTCTAGAAGATTTCAATTTCTCTATAGTTTAAATATTTTTTTTTATTTTCTATTGATAATCTATAATCTATTCTCACACTCCCTAAAATTTTATTTTTCGCACCCCTTAATTTTATGAACTTATATTTCGATCTAAATTAAAGATTTAGACTAAATTTAGATGAAATTAGAAGTGAATTTGGGATTAAATTGAATAAAAAATTGAGAAAATAACCTCAGTGACTAAAAATCCCATATAATATACGATTTTAACCAACTTTTTCTGGATTTGCCAAAATAACCAACAAAATCGCAATGCGATCGCTAATTCGCAACGCGATCTCCATTATCGCAAATCAGTTTCCAAATTCGCAACGCGATTATGACTATCGCAATGCGATTTTCCAATTTCGCGTTGCGATTTTCCCAATTCGCAATGCGAATTTGGAAAATCGCAACGCGATACTGACTATCGCAACGCGATAATACAAAATCGCAACGCGATACTGACTTTCGCAACGAGATAATACATAATCGCAATGCGATTTTCAAAGCGCCATTAGTATCGCAAAGCGTATTTTATTTTCAAATTCCAAACATGAATATTAATATATTGGAACACTGAACCGTCCACGGTATATCCCGTAATCGCAACTCATAACCTAAAACCTAAAATCACAACTCAGTCCCATCTCCATCTCTCACTCTCTCACCCATCTCCGACGAAATCCATCCCCATCTCCGGCGAAATCCGTCTATCTCCATCTCTCAGAGCCACCCTCACAATCAGAAATGAAAAATCAACCAAATCAACCACCGAGGGTTAGTTTTTTTAATTATTTTCTTTTTGAAATTTTTGCATTATTATTAGGTTTTTCATATTGAAATTAATGATAAGTTTACTGGTAATTTCAATAATAGATTAACCATTTCACTTAGATAGCTTATTAAATCAACCGAGAATCGCAACGCGAAATGAAAATCGCAACGACAAAATCGCAACGCAATTTTATTCTCTCGTTGTGATAGTCAAATTCGCATTGCGGTTGTCATTTTCGTGTTGCGATTTTCATTTTCAGAAACTATTCTTCTTCTGCAAATTGAAACTTGAATGAATTGCATTACTTCAACCAAAAAACAAAGACAAATAAGAAATTCACAGTGTTGCAAATTTAAGTTTGAAGAATAAACTACTACTCTTTATGTTTATTATTGTTTTTGGTATATCTTCACAGTGTAGTTTTTGGTATATCTAACTTAGTATGTTTATTGTTTTTGTAGAACTTTTATTCGGCTCAATTGACCTTAAGAAATAAAGTCAGCCTGGCCAAAACAATTGCGTCGAAGCTTTCACCTGCACAAATAAAAATGTTTGAGGATACTTGCTTCGGGCCATGGCTGAAAGTACAACATCCCGGTGGAGATGCGATGTTGACACACCTGTTTCTTCAAACCATGACTAGCGATCTACCAGATACTATACAACGTCATGATGAAGAGATATGGTTTGATTTTCCACCGGCGTATACGTGTTTTGGGCGGGAGGAGTTTTGCTTAATCACCGGTCTACGCTTCGGACACGATGATGTAGGTCGATAAACTAGACACATTACCCGTCCATCATGGTTATCCCGGGTTTTTCCTGAGCTGGAGAGGCTGAATCTACACGTGGAAGACCTGACGAGATTATTGAATAAGAAAGATGGTTTTACTCGGATGGATGACGTCGATGTTGTCCGAGTATGCCTTCTAATACTTTTGCATGCCGGCTTTTTAGGTAGAGAGGCCAGACAACCTATTCCGAATGATCTAATCAAATTGGTAGAAGACCTAAATGCGTGGAACCTATTTCCGTGGGGCTCGTATTTATGGAAAGCTACATGGAATAAGTTATCGTCTGCCTTGGATGATCGAAAAAGTTTGCATGGCGATGGTTCCAAATACACTTTGACAGGCTTTATTTGGGCCTTTAAGGTAAGAATTTTTATATAATGTTTCCAAAATTATAAGTAATTATTTAACAATTACTAATGTTTGTTATTATATTGTTTGTAGATTTGGATATTTGAGGCCTTTCCCGCCATGAAGACATATGCAATAAAAACTTCAAATGATATTCCCAGGGCTATTTCCTGGAAGAGGAAACGGACCTTGCAATGGGAAGATTTACTACGGTATACGACAATAAATAATGTAAGTTAACATAAATACTACCATATGTTTATAAACAAGTTATTACTAGTACACGTTTAACTTTGTTTGAGTTTTTATATTGTTAGGAGGCCAACACTCCATTACAGAGACTGACACCCACGGAAGCTGAGCTTGCCACTGATTGGTGGCAAGCTAGTAAGCATTTTTTTGATGGCACGGATGATGAGCAGCCTCCACTTCGGGAGCCATCACCTCACCCAGAGCTATCACCTCACCCAGAGCCATCACCTGATCGACCCGACTATACACCTCCACAACGACAACCATCACCTATTCTGTCACATCATCGAGCCTCTTCTTCACCATCACCGCAAGATAGGCGACCGGCAAAGTTGCCACGACGTTTATCTCCCTGTTCTCCACCTCCACGGGATGAGTTAGGGGAGTTACGTGTTGAGGTCAATGCTTTGCGTGAGGAGGTCGGTACTTTACGCAAAGACGATGGTGCATGGCGTGTTGAGGTATCTACTTTACGCGGTGAGGTAGCCGCTCTACGTGAGATAGTAGCATCGTTACAGAATGAGGTTCATACTCTACGCAACGAGGTAAGTTTAAGATTTTTCATATTTAACTTGATGATAAATTTACTCGTAATTTCATTTAGATTAACCATTTCACTTAGATTGCTTAATAAATTCATTCAGTTGCTGTTAGTATTTGTTTTTGGTTTTGTTTTTGTCTTTTGGTTGAAGTAATGCAATCCATTCAAGTTTCAATTTGCAGAAGAAGAATAGTTTACTTTCGCAACACGAAAATGACTATCGCAATGCGAAATGGCTATTGCAATGCGAAATGAAAATTGCAACGACAAAATCGCAATGCGAAATGAAAATCGCAACGACAAAATCGCAACGCGAAATGAAAATCGCAATGCGATTTGTGTTTCGCGTTGCGATTTTTTCGTTGCGATTTTCATTTCGCATTGCGATTTTTTTCGTTGCGATTTTCATTTCGCATTGCGATAGCCATTTCCGCGTTGCGATAGCCATTTCCGCGTTGCGATAGTCATTTTCGCGTTGCGAAAGTAAGTTTCGTGTTGCGAAAGTAAACTATTCTTCTTCTGGAATGTTTATATATGTTGTCC